TGTGGTGAACTTTGGAGTGAAAGTTATCTTTGTCACAATGGCAAAACTTCTTCGAGACTGCTTTGTATACTGTCGTATTTATTTCATTTCAACTGGTGTAGCACCTTCTTGGTACCTGCTGATCCCTCGAGTCACAACGGGTGCATCGATTGTACGAGTTATATTTATAAGAATTGAGAAATAGCTGTTCTGGCAGAGACGACGGTGCTGAACCCATACGAGACAAACCATGTCTATATAGGAATAAGATTGTGAGCATACTCACAAGCATGACGTGAATCGCCCCTTTACATTCTCTACATAACTGAAACATTCTCGCCGATCTCAAGCCCGCCAATACTGGGCCAAACTATGCAACCGATCAATAACGACCGGTAAGAAAGCACTCACACTATCATTGATCAAATTCTGGAAATGCAAAATCGCCTCCTCCTCACTCATTTGCAAACAAAACTTATCCTGAACCTTGTCAACCACCCGCAAGGGGTCATTGATAATATCAGGAATATTTGCATCAACCATTAATTGAAACAAATTCAAGATCAACTGGCTGTTTTTCCGCAACGTCGTATACGTTATAAAACAATAGTTTTGGAAAATGTGGAAATTCTCATGCTGCATCCCTCCCATTCCATCAATCACTTGAATGGGCAACTTCATCAAAGGTGGGAACGGTTTGGGGTCGCGGCCTAGGATGTACCCGAAATCAGCGTGCCAGAATTTACCATTGGGCGATAGTAACAAGTTGTCCAAGTGCCGATCTCCGACTCCGAGAATGTAGGTGATAACGCAGTACCCGGCACATGACTTGACGTAGTTGTCCATAAGTTTTGGAGATACTCCCAAATCGGAAGTAATTGCAGCTTTGGGTTGTGGTGGTAATTCTGGTGGAGCAGATTCTTGTGGAGTGGAGAGGGAGTTTGCACTTGTGGTTGAACTGTGCAAGACGCTTTTGGAGACGGGCTCAATTGCTTGTTGGTCCACGTCTGGATCTTGACTATGGAGTCTAAGATAGTTGAGGATCCCATTAGAAGCAACATTAGGTGGAAGTGGTGGAAAAGGAGGTGCTGCTGCTGCTGCTGTAGCTCCCAGTTGTCCTGCGGATGTAGCAACAGTACCTGAAGAAGTGTTGGCTATTGCAGCTGACCCTGCCCCAGACCCAGCAGCCCCTCCACCAATAGTCAATTGTGGTGCCACCTGAGCATACTTTGACAAAACCTCATCCAAAGTCTCATTAGGAACAAATTGAATAAGTCCCGCCACAGGACTAGTGGCGAGAATCTTGTACGGCGTCAATTTCAAATCCAAATTCTCATTCTTCAACAATTGATCCATCAAGTTGATAATCTGAATGACCAATTGATCTTGACGTAAATCATCACCAATTTTAAACATCAATGGGTATTTGCCATACTTGTTTTTGGTTGACCTTTTGCCAAATATTTGCGATGTTTGACGACTACGATGTTTGAGGTCGATTGTTTTTAAGGTGATTTTCAAGGGGGCAAGCGACGATTTAAACACTGATGATTCTTGGGGATAACATCCACACACCATAATTGAGGGATCTAGTGGTAGTGGGAACGGTTCTGGGAACTTGAGGAGTTCGTTGGTTGATGAAGATAAGTAGTCTCTGAGAAATCCAACTTTCTTCGCAGTTGCCTCACCCTTTTTGAATGTAGACCGGAGCAACTCCACCAAATGAGTGAGTTTTTTGATGAACCAAATTTGTCGTTTGAGATGCTTAAAGTAAGGTAACTTGTGCTCGTGGCTAAAGACTTTCAAGCATTCAATATACTTGTTCAAAATAATAGCATAGATATTGGTACCACTTCCATCAGCTTTACTCAATTGATCCTCATTTTCAACCTTGACATACCAGTAAAAGAAATTGCCCAAATGTTCATTCTCAACCGCCAGTTCAATGAGAAACCTCGCAAGTGGTAGATCCATACAATCCAAATCCGCTTGCACCTGGGCATCTTTATGGTCGCGTTGTACAACATCCTCGTAAATCAAAGCCTCGTATTTCAAAGCTTGGACCAATTGCAAAAGATAAAGCAACAACTCGTCACTACTAGCCAACTTCAACCTTTCCACCGCCAACTTCCGTAAATAGAAAACATTATCGAACACTTTTTGAAATCGCAACTCGTCATCCGTCAATTTAGACTCATCACCGCCACCTCCACCATTTTCGACATTACTATTCTTTTTCACAAACTTATCCTCCACGTACCGTGATTTCCCCAAGACATGCGGATTGAAAAACTTGCCCAACAATTCCAACGCGTCGCCAATTTGCAAATTCTCTACACTCCAATACAACGGCAAGATTTCCTTAAATGTATGATCCAACTCATAATCATTTTCCCAATTGATTGATTTGAGAAACTTGGGCAAAAACAGCTTGGATGCTTTGGATGTTGAATCGTTGGCATTGTTATTCTTGCTGAAGTAATACCGGAACCTCCACATGAGATTCTTTTCAAAATCGGTCAACTCGGTATTGGATGGTTTCAACAAGATTTTGAGCAACTCATCTCGTAGTTGTGGTGACGGTTTCAAGTCTTTATCAATGATGGAGTTGTTGTTGACGTTTCTTTCCAACTTATGGAACTTCAATTCGATAGGATCCAAAACTGTATTGGTGGAGTTGGCGCTGGCAAGCTTGGCATTCGTGGTGGTGGCCGTGGCCGTCGTTGCTGCTGCTGCTGCTGTTGTTGTGGTGGTGGTCGCGGTAGTGGTGGTGGTCGCGTAATTCGCAGTCAATTGGAAATCTGGATCGTATATTTTCGCCGCTTTAGGATCCAGTGATGTAGACATGGGTATATCTATTGAGTTGATCACTTTACTTGTGGTGTTGTTGGTCAGGGGTGGTACGTTGTCTTCTATCCTCGGCTGCAATGATGGCACATTGTAGGTAATGTCTGAATACACTATCGGAAATTCATACTGCGGAAGCTCAACGTATAGGTAATAGTCATGGTCGCGATTTGGATTTTGCGTCACATCAATCTTCGGTAATGCAATCTTATCAAGCCAACTGATTCGAGGATACTGTCCGTTTTCATAGTCAATCAAATCTTTCTCTAGTGCAGTCAACCCCGTAGGATCCCCGTAATTCAACCGTTCTTGCTCATTTCTTGCCTCGAGCTCCGTGTATATGGGAACCTTGTGCGATCCACTTCTCAATGTTGACGATTTGTGATTGAACAAACTAAGGACCCCAACTCCAAAAACAACAGGCTTTGTATTGACAATCTCCAGCACGGTGAACTTCAAGTACGAGTCGTACCACACTTGATTCGCGTCAATGGGAAGTTTCAACACTTGATTCCACATTCGTTTCTTGTTATTAAATGCCTTGTAAGGAGTTTGGATTGGTATACCAATCAAATTGTTATCTTTGCCATCGTATACTTCAACCGTCACGTACAAGTCCAGGTATCGGTATATATTTGATAACTTTTGAAATACCGTTGGGTTGGCAAACTTGTCGGAAACTGTCGCTAGTCGAACATGACTAGGATTTGTGCACTCCATGTAATTTATCTTGACATTGAAAGGTTGTGATAGATCCTTTGCTAAACCATACGTGGTCAATGTTCGATTGCGGTGAGTTGATGACTCTGGATGCGAAGCTGCAACGGTCGTCATTGGTGTTTCACTAACACAACTTTTGTTGCAAGAGGACGTAGATTCTCCCAGTCACCATAAAACGGAAACTCGGATTTTTGTTTGCGCGGCTCTTGGCTCTTTAATCCATACACTCTTTGATCGTCCTGAGTAATATTTCTATTTCCTTCTATAACGCATGAATAAATAAATGACAAACTACCTATACCTGTCCCCCCTTTCTATATCCTAGCAACGCCACCAATCAAGATCTTTTCCATCCTTTCATCTCCATCATCAAATGTCTGAGTTAGTTGAACCAACGGGTTGAACAAATAGTTGACAACTACTTTCCTCACTGCGTACTTCAACTTCAACAACCCATTCACCACCCATTTATCATGATGCTCATAGTCACGGCATTGAACAATATCATTTTCGTAGAAGTGCATCACCGGTACATCATCAACTAAAGCTTCGGGTATAGGCAACAGCTTTGTAATCGATTTGATCAACTCATCACTAAACTTGATCTGTTCCATAAATCCAAACCTGACTATACATCTGAAATGACCAGGTAATTTCATTTGTGCCATCACAAACCGTTGTTCGTGGGCATAAGGAACAGAGAGAACACGCACTCCGACAAATACCAAGTTGTTTGGAATTGATGCGAAATTCTGCACAATTTTGGCATACAATTGTGGTAACGTGTTTGGACTGTTTGTGAGTAATGAATTGACATACATGAACCCAACACCAGAGTGTTTTTGCAACACTTGAGTTCCGTACTTGGTGATAACTTGATTACTTGGTGATTCAGCAATAACTGTAACTCTTTCCCTAGTTCTTCCTCGATTGCTCAAGTCGTCATCTTCATCATCATTACCGGAAGAATTGGTCTTACCATTACCACCGAGGTCAACTGTCACTTGTTTTGGCTTTGATTGGAAGAATGGGTACAAGTCGGCAATTTTAACCTGTTGACTTACTTCTTGATTGACTTTTCTTGATCTTGCCCATCGCCAAATGGTAAGGAAGGTACAAAAGAGTGCTGCCATCATCAATGGGAACCAAGCTCCATGCGGCACTTTTTTCATATTGGCAATCACCAAACAGATTTCCAATGGGACAAATATGCAAGCAAACAAGAGTGGCCAAATTATGTTCAAGTTGTACACGTAGTATAAGCAAAGAATCATCAAGGAAGTGGTGACAATCAAATCAAGACAAATACCCAACCCATAAGCAGCAGTGATATTGTTACTGTTTTTGAATCCAGCTGCAACACAAACAACACCAATCATCAACATCCAATTGACAGCAGGGAGGTAAACTTTACCAATGTATTGGCTTGACACATGAACAACTCTCAACTTGGGGAAACAGTCAAGATTGATCAATTGTCTTGTGATACTGAACACAGAAAGAATCAATGCTTGTGATGCAACAATACTGGCCAATGTGGAAAGAACAAACATGATCCAATAAGGAGCAGAGCCAGTACCACCAGGCAATGAGATGTAAAATGGGTTGGTGACGGCATCTGGGTGTTTAACCAAGTAAGCGCCCTGTCCCAAATAACACAACATCAATGCAGGATAAACAAAACAAGTCATTGTCAATTGTATGGGCAATTTACCGAAATGGCCAATATCAGCAAACATGGCTTCAGTACCGGTGATTGCCAACATTGCACCACCAAAAACATCAATACCACCGTTGCGCAAAATGTTGATGGCATAGTAGGGGGACAAGGCGGCAAATATACCTGGATGATGAACGACAATGTTGTAAATACCACAAATGATCAAACCAAACATCCAAATGGTGATGATTGGAGCAAATGTGAAGCTAAGCTTTGTTGATCCAAATTGTTGAATAAGGAAAAGTAGCACCAATATCACTTCGGACACCGCAAGGACGTTGTTGAAACTGGGTACTGCAGTTTGAATACCACCAATAGCACTGAGAACCGTTGTAGTTGGAGTAAGTAAACCATCGGAAATGATTAATGAACAGCCAAGGAAGCAAGCAGCAAGAATGAAACCTTTAATAGCTTTGATTACTGATGGATGTTGTTTAATTCTGTCGATTCTTGATTGCAAAGTATCGGTTGACATTGTGGTATCGTGTCTTGCAAGTACTTTCAAATCCATATCGTCCAACTCACCTTCAGACTTACCAGGCAAAATGACACCTTTTGGTCCAATCTTTAAGAATCTGGCAATCTTGGTATAAATGGCCACTTGACCCCCTTCACCATTGTTTGGACCAAAGTACAAGACAATGAGAACGTATTTGAAAATGACAATGAATGTAAAGACGTAAAAGATGATGGAGACAGCACCATACACATCATCTTTGTTTGGTGGGTTTTGTGAATATTTGATTGAGTTCATGGTATACAAGGGGGAAGTACCCAAGTCACCATAAATAGCACCAAGGGAACTGAATGACAACATAAAGATTTCTTTCCATGATTGTTTGCGAGGTGGCTGTTTTTGTTGTGGAGTGGAATCTATGGAAGATTCTTCATCGTCGTNGTCGTTGATGTTGTTGTTGTTGTTGTTGTTGTTGTTGTTGTTGTTGTTGATGTATTCGAGGTCTGCATCACCAGCAGCACCAGCAGCGGCATCAGCAGCAAAACCTTCTTCGTCTTGGTAGAAGTCGCCGGAGTTTACTGAAGCAACGTGCATTGAATTGTCCAAGTCAGCTTTCAAGGTGGAGGTGTTACCAGTTGACATTACTTTCAGTGTTTATAATCTCACAAACGACGAGCCCTGCTTGAGAAAGGGGGGGGAGAGAAACTTGTCTTGTTGTTGTTGTTGGTTGTCAAAAGTAAAGAATAATACCTACAATAAAAGGAGAAAAGAAAAGGAATAAAAGAGGTGGGAGAGGTGGAAGGATGCTATATCCTATTTATACTTTACTGCTGATTGTTGTCATTCGAAGTAGAAGTGACGAGGCGAGTATAGGCGAAGCGGATATGGCCCAAAACAGAAGACGGGATTCATTTCCATTGGACGTTGTTGTAGATTGTAGATTGTTGATTGTTGTGAATGTAGTTGGTAGTGCTCTGGTTGCTAAAAAAAAAAAGAACAAAAAAAAAAGAGTATTCTTGCGTGTGTTGTATGTGTATTGAAAAAAAAAAAAATTAAAATCCCTCATAATTAATCAATACAATTATAAAAATAGTTACGTCACACAAAAGAAAAACAATACAAAGGCAGAAGAGAATTAAAAAAAAAAAAAAGAAAAAAAAAAAATTTCTTGAGGGGCTGAAATCAAATAAACGAAAGATTTAAAAGATTTGTATTTTTTTTTTGTTTTTTTTTAATACAAATAATATGGCAGAGGGTAACTACAGCTTTTTTAAACAGTGTAGGCAAGAGACCAGACAAAAAAGAGTTAAAGATTGGAAAGTTTTTGCTAGTTGTTCAATTTGCTGATACTTGCCAATGTTTACTGTTGACACGGCTTTTTTGTTGAAAGTGATTATGGCTGGGTGGTTGTGTGTCATGTAGTCTATTACATTACAACTTGTCCTTGATACTGTGGGGTTTGTGTTCACTTTTAGTGTTAGTGTATGTGTATAGTAATAATAGTAATATGTCTTTTAAGGGAATTTGAACGGTTCTCCCCCTATTTCTTTGTGTAGAGTGTGGGCAGTAGCAGCAGCAGCAACAGTAGTAAATTAAATTACGTCGATCTCTACAGTATTAAATCCCCAGTTGTGGGTCTGAGGATCTGTACCTTGTACAAACGAAAGTCATCTTCAACTTTTATTTTTCTTTTATTGTGCTGTATGGGTATATACGCATAGTGTGTATGTGCTGAAAATGCGAGGGCTATGCTTTCTTGTTTCTATATTATCATTGCCTTACCTGGTCACATCATTTGACATTACGTGGATGATGTATCTTTTTTTTTATCTGCATCTACTGGTTTGTGTGTGTGTGTGTGTGTGTGCAACTTCAGCATATGTTGGGGGAAAGTAAAAAAGTCGACTCTCATTCATATTCTGCTGCCACAGCCTCTCACAGAAAGTATTTCTTTTTGTCTCTGTTCTTCTGTCTCTTTTTCTCTTTTATTTTTTTTCTTTTTGTGTGATTGAGATGTATTTTTTTTTTTTTCGATAAATCCCTCAAACTGCACAAACACATATACGTAACTAACACATAGACATTTAGATTTCCATTCTTTTCTTTACCTCGTTTGGGAAACTACTACTACTAATACTGGTAATTGTAAAAAGTGGTAGTAATAGCAGCTATCTAGTATATACTGTCGTGTTGATGTACTGTGTGGAGTAGCTGTGTATAAATTTTTTATTTATCCTTGTTTAGCATACATACAATCGGTGTTTACATCTGATCCAAACTTCAAATTTTTCCTTTTCTTTTGCGAGTGGATTTTTTTTTTTTGCAACCAACTTACATCACACCCTCAAAAGAAGACGACAACAGCGACAGCAACGAAATAAACAACAAAACGAAGACACTAATCAAGAAGAGTGTTTTTATGTCCACTGTGTCTATCCAAGAAGAGCTAGACTCTATTCTTTGACTCTCTAAAATCTTCTCTTACAAAAGCAAAGCGTGTATACTCAAATCAACAAGAAAACAATTGCAGGAAAATCAAATGCAGAAGAAAACAAAGACAAAAAAAAAAAAAAAAAAAAAAATTTTTTTAAAAAAAAAAAAAAAAAAAAAAAAATAAAAAAAGAGCAAAGAATTCAACCACCCCAAACTT